TAGTTTTAATCATAATTATAAATCTATGTTTTGATCATTTTTTTAAAATTTTTCTAAATTTCAATTTTTAAATTGTTTTGAGTTTTGGGCTCATGGGCTTTTGGGCCTTGAAGGTCCATGGGCTGCCATGCCCTAGGCGGCTATCGGCTTGGCAAGCTCACATGTGCCTAGCCGAGGGTTGGCCACTAGCTCGGCATGCTCATGTGCACTTGGCCTAGAGCCGGCCACTTGTTTAGTGTCTTGCACTCGGCCTTGGTTGGTCGATTGAGGCATTAGCTTAGCCACCCAAAGGGCATTAGCCTAGCACGTTTATGTATGCTTGACCTAGAATTTGGCTATTAAGGCACTCGTGCATTAGGCTTGCTGCTTGTGCACGAATGCCCTTGGCACAGGCGGTCCTTACCTTGTGCACGCCCAATGCATGCTTAACATGCATAAGGCATATCTTGCTCGGCCATAGGCTTGGCATGTACCCGGTGCATGAATGACTTGCCCAACGAGCCTAATGTGTGCGAGGCACACACGACTTGTCGCACACCTAGCGCACGACCGATCCGACTAATAAGCATGGTATGCGTAAGGCACATCCGGCCTATCACGTGCTTAGGATGTGATCGGCTCGGCTTATTAGGCACAAGGAAAGTTTGGCTCGTCGGGTGCCTAACACATAACCGGCCTAGCTAGGAGGCCTAATATATGTGAGGTATGCCGACTGTCGCACACTTAGCAAGTGACCGACCTTACCTCTCTATTATGTAACGGTGGCCTCAAAAGCCCCCACTTAATTCTAAGCTCAAAATCAATTTTAAAACGATCATAAAATACTAAAACATTATATACGCGATCAAGAATTGATAATTCATATAATTAATTATAATTAACAAATCATACAATTAAATATTTAATAGAGGCTCTGCTATTAATTGAAGAATCATGTATCCTATGGAGGTGAAAAATAAAACATAAAATTTTCCTCTATTAAAGGCTTCGAAGATCAAACCGTTGAATTAACTAATCAAACATACTTGAATTAAAGTATGGGTTAAGGATTATCTCTTGTAGTATAGATTTAGTCTTTGCGGAAAAAGAGCTTTCCAAGTTTCGACCTCTATCAATAATCCATGCGGTCCAAGCACCCACACAAGAAGCACTTAGAAGTTATATAGTGCTAGCTCCACATTTTTCGACTTGTATAATATTTTCTTTTTAAAAGTCTTTTTAGGATATTTTACGATAACCCTAAGAGATAGGGAGAGAATTAGCATGTTTTTAGGAGAGAAAATTATTTTCTCTCTTACCGTGTATGCCCTATGCCTTAATCTCTCTTTGCCACACCTCTCTCTTCTATTTATAAGGGATAATGTGTTCCTTGTTCTCTAAGGACAAGGAAGTGGTAGCGATAAGTACAAAAATACTTTAGGTTGTTGCTTCCTAGTCATCTAAGGATTAGGAATTGTAATGTATGTGGGCTTTTTTTGGTCTTATCCTTATAAACCCCGAGTCTTATCCAATGAGGCTTAAGTTTATCCTCTCACCAAAATATCTTACGAGCTTTTAAATTAAACCTATTGGTCCAAACTCTTTTGGGCCAATTAATTACTAATAAATTTAGACTATATAAATAAATTGGGTTAAATATTTTTAGGAGATTCACATTAAGAAATAATTTTTCAAATTATCCTTAAACCAAAATTAAGAAACTAATTTTTTTTTAGGTAACTTATTTCTAAATTTGGAAGTGACATCTAAATTAGGAAACTGATTTCTAAAATAGGAAACTTTCTATTTTAGAAAACGTTTTTCAAAATAAGAAACTTTATATTTTGGAAACTTTTTCTAAAATAGGAAACTTTCAAAACTTGAAAACCTTTTTCCAAAATATTTACTTCTCTTTTATTATATGAATGCTTAAACTTATGCATGTGACTTAATAAGCTCCTACATATATTGGTAATATATAAAAAATTAAAGAAACCTCTTTTATCTCTTGATACATAAATCAAGATTGGCCTCTAGCAATGCATCATGACTATTCAATTCTCTAAGAGGATTAATTAATCTGTAAGTACCTTTTATGGGTATGGTTACCATATCATTTAGTCCTCATGTTAATTTATCACAGTTTGATCTCAAACTTAGTTTATAGTCTATTCGATTATGATCATATAAGTTTTGTTCAATTCCCAAATGTCTTAGAGTAAACCAACTATGCTTATTGGTTTACTCTTACTCGTGGATAAAGATTCCTTGTGTATAGATTTATTAAAATACAATGTGATAACTCATTTAGTATATAAAAAATGACATGTCCTATCTTAGTCATCCACCCATCTCAATTAGATTCCTAATGCACCTAATGAATTGCCTATGTACAACTCTTTACCGAGTCCAGTGAAATGAGCATCAAAGTACATAAATCTTCTAATGAGTTAACTATGATGCCTTTAATTCAAAGAACTAGTTGTACCATCTCATATGAGATTCTCATAGACTAAACCAAATGGGTTTTTATGGTGAGTCAAGTCTAGTGATATGTTCTCTAACATTAATCACCCAAGTGCGTCTTTGGCATCACCATGCCAATAAGTGTGAGATCTCCTATTGCTATCTTATAGCATGAGTATAACACTCATAAGTTTTACCACATATAATCAATGTCTATTTTTAATGATGCTACGACTTGGGACATTTGATAATATCATTTAAGTGTATTAATGTTTGTCTCACATCTTTCGATTAATCATTAATGATATATATCATATGGACTTCTATCCAATTCTATTCATAAATATAAATAATAAGAACTAATAGAAAGACTTCTTTATTAATGAAATAAAGAATGCAATATTATAATAAGTCAAATCATCTAAAAAAAGGTTGGATCTTAAGCATCTACACTAACATCAATGACATGACGAGATCATGTTGATTTACAAAAAAGACAAGTAAAACCCAAGTAGCAAATTTAGAGTTTTTAGAGAAACATAGATTGCAATTTCCAAGACATAGGTTTCCCTTCTTTTTCTCTTCATTTGTGTGTTATCTAGCTTAAATAGATTCAAAGTTCTAGGTCTGGTTGTTTTCCTTGAGTTTGTCTCGCTTGCATTCCCGATTATGCCCTCTCGTCCTTATGTTCATTGGGATTGCTACTTGGACCATTACTTGTGTCATTTAAGTGGTGTTCATTCATTTGATTAAATGAGAGATCATTGTTCTTTTATGCCAATTTTTTAGTATACACATACCAAAATTCTAGTGTAAAATGGTTAAGATGTGTTTTTTTTTATATCTCAATTATTTATACTCCCCCACGAAGAAGCTTAAAACAAATTTTATAGAGGCATACCTCTTCTAAACCAAGTCCAAGTAAGGTCTTTATCATGTTATCATATGCCAATTTGATGCATTATCACATTTCATGAATAATATAAATTGTATGATTGTGCATGAGACCAAAGAAATGAGTTTTTTTCACAATCGATCATACTTGTATAAACAAGAGTTCTTTGAAAGATGAAAGATCATGATTCACATTGTGTTAGGTGAGTCAAGAACTAAAAAGACAAAGTAAAATGATCACGCTAATGAATATTTGGCTATGACTCGGATTATCTCTTTATTGCTCTAGATAGAAAAGGAGTTGAAATGTTTGGTCATTTAATACTAATATAGACTTGCGACTAGTCGACCATAACATGTTTTCGAAGCATTGACAATGATCATCCATTCATCATCTACCTTTTATTGTTGTTACTTATGTCATCATTCGCCTTTAGGCGAGACTTGATTATGTGAACTTGTATTTAAGATTTTTTTTTTCAAATTCTTAGAAAATTATTTTCATTTGTTGTGACTTTTATGGATTAGGTCGTCCGTTTGAAAATTTTCCATCAAGACAAGGGTAATTATTCTAGAGAAATTGTTAAGATGTTCTAAAGAAAGTAATCTCATTCGAACGATTTTGATTCACTCGATCAAATGCCAAGACATATCATGCAAATGTCATGATGAAACCTTTAAAGTGATCCTTTTCTAGGCTAGACAAGAAAAATGTATTAGGATCATATAAAAGTTTTGGAAAAAAAAACCATCTCGTTTGAAAGGTGATTTGTTAGAAATTGGATCACCGAGAGCGAAATGGTTGAATGGATTTCACGAACTCAAAGAGTTTTGAAGGAATTTGGGCTCAAATGGGTATTCTTGCCTAGAAAGACTTGGTTCATTTCTTTCTTACCCCATGTTACTTGAGAAAAATTCATGTTTTAATGTCACAAATGATGATTTGTAATGTATAAACAATTTAATTTTTATTAAGAAAAATGTTTTTCTTCTTCTCATTTGAAAACTAGATTTCATTAATACCAAAAAGTCTTAAAGTGAATATTTTAAGTCATCAATCTCCTTTCTTCGATCATTTCATGGTTTGGGACCATTGTAAATAAATTCTCTCTACATCTATGGACCAAACCGTGATATAAACGAAGCTATGAATCAAACAAAAATTTTAGAAAAAAATCAAGAATCAAAATAGAATGTTTGTTAAAATCTCAAACTAAATAACTAAACATAAGTAAAAAATCATAATAATACTATCACAAACACATGACTAAATGACAACTACTACAAAAATGTCAAATATACGATGCAAATGAGAAAATTACAAAAATGACAAGTGAATATTGTATATAAGTGTGGATGAACAATGGTTGAATAATAAATATTCTATAATAAAATTTATAATAACATAAACCACAAGTTTAATTAATAAAAAATCCAATATATCGCATAAAAAAATTCTATTGAAAAAGTATAATATCATCGTGTGCTTTTTTAAACATAATTTTAATTATTATATTTGAGGGTACCCATATTCTCATGGTCCAAATGAACCCGATCCCATTCAGACGAGAGTGACAAGTTTGACAGTTGGCTCTCTCACCCTCGCTCCCTTCAAGGAAAGACACGTCGTCTATGCTTTTTTTTTTCGTAGTAACATGAGCATGGTCGGCTATACTGTCTGTGCTGCTTTTACAATCCAAAAAAGGAGAGGAGAATTTTCCTTCTCTCGCAAACAATTCCTCGAAGACAAGATGGACGAAGAAGGAGGAGAAGAACAAACTGTACCTCCGCTTACTCCTCCTACCGCCGCCGATGAAACTCAGGCTGCGGAACCACAATCACAACCCGATCCTCCACCTCCATTCGATCCCAGTCGAAGTAAATTCCCTTCTCTCTCTTCTCTTCTCTTCTCTTGTTTCATAAATTTGAGCGATGCTTTTTAGGGTTTTTCTTCCTTCATTAAATTAATAAATATAACTATTGGATTTATGGAATTGAAAGTCATAACGATGAGGAGAGTAGAGTTAGAGTTCTGAAATTGTTGTGTTGTGGAATAATAATAATAATAATTTAGTGCAGTTTTGTTTTATGTCCGTCCATCTATACTGATTGATTTGCTTTGATGCCATTACCCTTACCAAGTGATTGGTATTATTAAAAGGAAGGGGTTGATCAAAGAGTTGACAGCAGTCTACCACGCTCAGTGCCTTTCTTATTGTCAGCAACTATTGGAACTCCAGAAAAAATGCCAAGAGGTCACTCCTTATCTCTATCTCTATTTCTTGTTTATACTTGCTCAGTTGAATCATCATCATCATCATCATCATCATCATTATTATTCTTATATAGTTCAGTTGAATCATCATCATCATCATCATTATTTTCTTATATAGTTTATGTGTTTGTCAAAAATACTTGCAGCCATTTGTTGATTTAAAAGCTGTTAATGATTCAAGAAAAGAAACAATGAGGCCCCCCAAACGCCTTAAGAAGTCCCGCTAACAAACCATATTGTAAGCTTTTATGCTTTTTATATTCCCTTTCTGAATGTTGCATTCTCAACAGATCAACATTCTCTTGTTTTCTCTTTGCTTAACTTGGATCGCTCTAGGTTCTAACATGTTATGTTTATCGTAAAGGGTCGAAAAAGGTTACTGTCGCTTTTATTTTACCAAAAAGATGTTTTCCAGTTATTCAGTATGGTTGCTGCTTGCAATGCCTTGTCTTGTGTCCTATGGCTGCACATCTACCATCTTGTGGAATTGCAAAACAACATTGGCTTCATTTTTTCACCGCAAGTTTCACCTATTTTCAATGGTTATGATATATCCATTGAACAGGACAAGAATGGTAGTCGATCCTTTTACCTTTTCTTATTTTGTGGGTGTTTTGAATGATTAGTTACGTAATGGTAGACTGGTGTTATTGTTGACTGATTTGTGCCGCTATGGTTCCAATCCATGCTTGGACTATTTCACTTTAGTAGGAGTTTGCAAACTGTGACTTGGTGAAAGGTTTGTTAGTCATTGAAATGTGCAGATTTAAGCTGTTTTATTCATCTGCCCTGCAGGGAGGCGGAAGTTGAGTACTAGGTGCTGCTCTGGTGAAGAAGATAAAAGTAGGGTGTGATCCATCTATAGAGCCATTGCCAATGTCTAGATGTTACAACTCTTTCAATTTGTAGTGAATTACCAAAAAAAGTCAGATAATCGATTTCTTGTTAGTATCATCGTTCTAGTAATGCTCTAGGGGAAATAGAATTATTTACAGGCCTCTTCATAATGCGAAAATTAATTTTTGTATATGAGGTTATGGTTGGATATCTACGACAAAGAAAATTTGATTTGATTTGATTTTTATTTTTCTTTTTCGAATCAGTGATTGGATTAACTAAAGAAGTGTGAAATCATGTTAAAGAGTTAATTATCTCTCTCTCATATTTCCATCTAACAATTGGTTATTGAAAGGTAGATAATGCCACGATAAAAATTTAAAATTTCATTGCTTTACTAACATATGCTTTTAGGACATGCTAGCGTGGTTCCTGGTCCATTGCTGCCGGCAATTTTATAAAATTTGTTTCGATATTTAAATAATTATGAAAATATAAATGAGCGAAATCAAAATCAAACTAGCAAAATTTTTAATTTAATTGTATTTTGTAGTATTTAATATCACCTATGCCAGTTTTTTTTCCTCTAATAATATTTAAAAAAAATAAAAAAATCATCTATGTTTTTAATTTATGACTTTAAATATATTTTATGGGTATATTTGATTTGGATAAATTTTTAAAAAATGCAGTTTATTATTTATATCACTTAAAAATCTAATTAAAAGAATTAACAATTGAAAGAATGCAAGAAGCGATAACAAAATTTTAATTAAAAGAATTAACAATTGAAAGAAAGCAAGAATCAATAACAAAAGATGTTTAAAGAGTGATTAATTCTAATCAATGAATCTATAACTATTTGTCGATGGGGGCTTGTGAAAAGTGTGTGAGAAAAAGAGTCGCTACTTAGTTATCGGGTAAACTAGGAAATGCTAAATAAATTAATCTGTATAGATATCTAGATAAGAGGTTGGTTATATATGGGATAAATATAACTTCATCGTTATCCCATCCTATCTAAAATAGGTTACATTGTTTATATGAAAATAAAAATCTGATTGTACTATGTTATATTTCTAGGTTTATTTGAGTGAATTTATTTTATTGGGATGGAAAATAAAAGAGTAATTCGGAGTTTAGATCGGTCAAAGTCCTATACCCATTCTCTAAAGGAAAAAGGTGGATAGGAATTTGAATTTTAGCTAACACACCGGTGACTAACTTATATTGGCAAAAGGCGAGTCTCTTAAGATTATCATCCCATATTGACATAATTAAGAAATTACGGGCGACTTCGTCTATATAAATAGAAGTCATTTTACCATTTCTATTCACACAAGTAAAGAGATGATGAGTTCGTTGGTAACTTCATTCATACTAGTGGTATAATACTTGGTATATGATAAAACTGAAATTTAATAAAATTAAGAGTATTAAAAACATATGAAAAATATTTTGAGGGCATGGAATAATCCATAAAGGGTTAAGAGAATATTTAGAGTAGTTGAAACGAGTCTTCCTATACTCAATGAATATTTTATTGATTTTACGATGCATGAATAGTGATTTTTTGTGTGAAATAATTATTTTGAGCATATTGCATATGCATGAAAAATGTTTTACTTGCTTAGAATATTTGTCGAAGGGTGTTAAATTATTTTATATTATTATATGAATTTTCTCGTATGTCGTGAATATTTTATTTGAGTTCTTGTATGTATGAATAGTGTTTTTAAGGCACACTAATTAATTTAGGTACTTTAAAAGTATAAGAAAACTATTAAAAGGGTATAGAAAAATCATTCGGGATGTTTAGAAATATTTAATAAATTTAAATAAATTTTTCTATATATAAGGAATATTTTCTAAAGGAAATAATGTAATTTTAACACTATAAAATAAATTTGAAGGCCTAAATAGGTGTATAAAAATTATTTAAATGATTATTAAATTATTTGAATTTATTATGAAAAGAATTTTGATTTTGGAAAGGCATGGAATGTAATTTTGGATTCGGGGACTTAATTGCATAAACTTAGGGACTCAATTGCATCAAATTAAAGCTTAAAAATTTAAAATTAGATTATGTAAGAATTGTAAGGGTCAAAAATTGGTCATAGAAATGTAAAAATAAGGTTTAAAAATGATTATTTAAATAAAAGGAGGATTTAGGAAAGAAAGGGCTATGGAACATTCTAGAAACTTGAGGGAATAAAATTTATCATTTCTCCTCCAGCTTTGGCCGACTTAAAGCATTAATTAGCTCTAACTTTTAGTAAAAATTATGACCTTAATTGAACTAAGTGGAAGGCTTAAATAAAAAGAAGAATAAATAGCTAGAAACTAAACCGAATGAAATGAAAGGATTGAAAATTAAATTAAGGGCCAAGATTTACCCAAATTAAGGGTGAAGATGAGGCCACCAAGTTAACAAAATTAATCTATAAATAGGGGTGCTAGAAAAATTAAAAATGCAAAGAAAATAGAACAACTAAAAGGAAACTCTTGCAAAAATTCCACTAAAAAATTACCCAAAATAATCCTAACCAATTTTAGGCACTACAAATCAGTAGATTAAACCTCAATTTCAAGTGGAGTGAAAAAATTTTGAAGAAAAATTGAGCTTATCCAAATTTAGGAGGAAAAAGAGAAAGAAAATAATTCTCAAGCAACCTAGCTTTTCAAGGTTACTTTGGAGTTTAATCAAGTAAGTTAACTTCACCTACATCACAAGTAAGCTTAATTTCATATTAATTTTGTGTTTGATCCATCAATTTGGTTTAATTGCATAAATTGTGAAAATTAAGGTTAGGGTTTTAAGTTAAGAAAAATTGGGAAAAATGGTCCTAACCCTAAATTTCAAAAAATTAAGTTAAATTAGGCTAATTGGACTTAAATTTGATAATTGAAAATAAAAAATTTATAGGGTTAGGAGGGATGATGCATTCGGCCCAAATTAGTAATTTAGGGCTTTTTGATCCTTTCATACAATTGTTGTTATATGACTCGATTATGACTTAATTTAGTATGAATTAGTGTTTAGAAGTGAAAAATTCCTTCTAAATTGAAGAAAATTCAATGAATTCTTAAGGTTAACATTCAACCAAAAACTAACAAAATTAGGGTTTGGATTCCTTCATCTAATTATGAATTATTAGTCAATTAATGATTGAATGAGCATAATTTGGTGAGTAGGAAAGAAAAATTCTAAAAAAGTTGAAGAAAATAGCTCAATTTAGTTTAGGCCCAATGTAGCCCATTAAGGCCCAATTAGTGTTTAGGCATGAATTTTGTTCTAGGAATGTTAGCTAAACTAAGTCCTAATGTTAATGTGTAGTTAAATGACTTGGTATAAGAATTTAGGAAGGAGTAGAGAAGAAAATAATGAGTTTAGGTTTAATTTCGTTTTTAAAGCTTAAATTAATCATTTTGGACTTAGGGTAATGTAATGAGATGAAAAAGAATAATAAATTTCATTGAAACCTAAAATCTAGCTTGTGTAAGTAAAGTTAAAGTTTAGGCCCAATGAGGCTCAAAGTAAAAATCATACCTAAAATAAATCAAATAACATTCAATTAAATTAGTTCATGAAGTTAGGGTTAAATTGAGTAGAATTATTTGTGAAGTGGATATTAAAGTTGGAAGAAAATGGTTAGGTGAGGTATGGACATCATTCGGCCTAAAATTGGATTTTAGCGTTTATAATTTGATTTGTGTAATTTATATGTAATTGAACTCTTTGAATACCACTTACCGTGTTTGATATGTGTATGTGGTATGAAATTTGTATTGTTGGTGATTATGAAGTTGTATTATTTTATGGTGTGTAATGGCATGATTATTGATGATGGTTTGGAATGATTTTGTTAATATAATGTTTATGGTGCATTTATGCTATTAAATTTTTGCAATATCATGACATTAATGCATCTCATTATGGCATGCAATTCATGAAACAATAATGGTTATGCATTTTTAATGAAATGCATATGCGTGTCTAATTTTTGTGAAAGATGTTTTAAAGTCATGAAAACGTGTTTTTACATCATGATTTTCCAATATAGATTGGAAATCTTTTGAGGAATGATATTTTCATGACTTTGAGAAACTTTATGAGAAATGACTTCAAGGGTTTTTCATACTTTAATGGTAATGGTTCAAGGCTAGGTAAGTGTAGACGTGCACTTTTAGATGCTCGATAAGACACGTCCTTGTATAGGTCCGGTTCGCCGGACATATTACGTAAACCCCGAAGTACTTGTAATTGGACATATCCAAAGACGATAAAGGATTTTTAGACTCATCATGAAAAGTATTTATAACATGAAAAAATATTTTCATACGAGCATGTAAATGATTGACACATGCATCCTCATTTACATGGATAACATGCATTAGTTGACTTACCGAACTCGTTGCTCATCCGGTTGTTTGTGGTGTAGCCAACACAAGTAAAGATGGTGTTCTTCACTTTTGAGCTAACTACTGAGGGATCTATCCATCGTGTATACATTGGATGTTGTTGGAAGATGGATCTCATACACACCATAAGAGTTATAGTACTCGGTATTGTAGCCTACTTTATAGCTATGTCGGTGTTTTCTATTTGATAGTTAAAGCAATGAAAAAGTAGATAGCTGGTTAGAAAGAAATGAGTGTAAAAAATTAATAAGCCATTTGTATAGTAGTTGGCACTGAACTAGTTTCTATGTAAATAGTAATTTGTATGCAAATGAAATATCAAAGTAAAATGGTAGTATAATCGTAGCTAGTGTAGTTTACTTTAAGTTATTTATTTTCATGCTAGCATCACTAGAGCAATAAAAAAATATAATTAAATAGAAAATAATTAAATTAAATGGTAATGAATGAAAAGAAATAATCAATTAATTATCAAATAATGGGTTATGATTAAATAAATTTATATACTTTAATAGAAAAAGAATTTGAGAAAACCGAGAGTTATAGATTTGATTACTTTAGTCTAAAGAATGTAAATAAAATTATAAAATGC